TACCTTCCTTATGAGTGTCTGTGATTTTATCTTCCTGTGACCAAAAAGAGGAAGCCAAATTCAGAACAAAAAGTGTTTTTTCACTCCACAGAGAACCAATAAGGTTTTAGCCTGGTCCTTCCACAAGGTATTTTATATGCCAGCTGTGAAATATCACAAACACTTGACAAATGTTTAACAATCCAGCCTTGGTATGTTTATCCCTTTCAAACAATACCTTGTTGGGGGCCTAGTTCTGAGAAGCAACTGTGCAAAGAATGTGGATAGGAGGAAAAGCAGCTTGTCAGAAAAGAGAAATACAGCGTTGACAGAAGCTGCAAAATTTTTGTGAACTCTATTCTTCTGCCAACATACAAATGTCACTGCCTGGCAGGTGGAATCATCAGCAGAGAGTGCTCCCTAAGCATTGCTTAAATGAGCAAATGCTTCATTTTCTAAACCCAGTTGTGATAGCAAACTGCTGGGGAAGTTAATTGGTGAGTCTGGATACATCTAAAGCATGAAGAGCCTGCAATCACCTCTCAGCATCCATTTCTTTGCAAATGGCTGTGTTGAGCAGGAAAGACGACCTACCACAGCTCCATGTCACAGCCAGCGTCTTTGCAAGGAAATACTTTGATGCTTGCTTTTTCTTAGTGGCCTGTTGTCCTGCATAAGGCATACTTAGAGATTTATTTGGTCTCCGTTGTGCAATGAAAGAGGTATCAGAATTTCTTTCTCCAGGCAATGAACCACTAGAGACTCCCTTGTTACCTTTAACTCAGAAATCGTCATTCAGAAATTTACAGGCTGACCTATAGCTCTCCAGAGAAACTCTGCATTGCTTTTCTTTGCCTTTCTCTCGTATGCCTGCCTTTTCCTCTGTTGCCTTTCCCCCCATCACAACTTCCTTTTTATCCTGATGACCTCAGCTCTGTTTATGCAGTGAAAAGAGTGAATGTATTAAAACAGTTTTGGATGACTTAAGTCCTTTTGAACATTTTCCACACACATCAGGTATTCTCCCACCAGCACATCGCTGCCTTTGTTTGAGCTAGGTCACAGTCTAGTCTTTGAGGAACAAAGGCATAACATTCGTAGGGACTTGTATTCAAGGTAAGAATTCATTACCCAGCTGTTGTGTGTGAACCTTGGCAGCCATCTAAGGGAAATAGATTCAGAAAGGTAAAAGTGAGAAAACACATGGATTGAGATAAAGCCATTTTAATGTATTAAAAAAAATTAAAAATTAAAAACAAGGAATGAAAAAGCAACAATTCACCACCTCACTCAAATGGCATTAATAAACACTCTCCCAGTTTTGTTCCTGAGCAAGGTGTTACATGGTAGAGAATATTCCTTTGGAGTCAGCTGTCTGTCTGTCTCTTCCTAATCTCTTGCCCACCTCTAGCCTACTCTTCTATTGGCAGGAGAAACAGAGAAGACCTTGGCACTGTGCAAGCACTGTTCAGTAACAACAGAAAATATATGATAAAAATGTTCGAGTCACAAATCAAAAGCGTAGCACCATACAGACTGCTGTGAAGAAAATTAACTCTCAGCTCATATGGTGACAATAGTTTGGTTACCCTAAGTAATGCACAATCGCCTTGCTTCAAGAGGACTTACACCATCCAAAGATGATCCAGAAATCTTGTCACTTCCAATTACATCTGTTGCTCTAAAACAGAGTAGGACCTTTTCTGCACATCTTAAATTCTCTCTTATATACTTAGGCCATAAAAAGAGCTTAAGAATCACTTTTCCTTTAGCTGTCATCCATGAGCTGACAGACCAGACTAGGTCCTGCTGCCATGCAAGCTCTGCACAGCCTCATCTGGATGTATTTTGGCTGAATGAAATTCCCTGTCTTATCATGTTCACAATATTCTCCTAACTCTTTCCTAGCTGGGAGATCTAAGAATATAAAGGAAATGGCAACCAGGGACATTGGGCATTATGCTTAGAAGGTTAGGGTTAGGAAGAAGCCAGAAACCTCTTCTGGAGCAAGGGCTAGAGGCTTCAGTCCAGTGAGGCTCCTGTCCAGAGAGGCCCTGCATCTGGGAGAGTAGAGGTTGGGGCTGCTTATGCCCAGCTCGTCAGCTGCAGAGGTCTGGTCGGAAATTGGGAAAGAAAGATGTTCACAGCCTGGGAGCAGGAAAATTATATGGTCTCATTTATGGGAGCCTTGCTAAACTCTTTCCTGACAAGGGAGATTGCATACTTGGAAGACAGATACAAGCAGTGCTACAGCATCCAAACGGCCAGCCTTGGGAGAGAGAGAGGTCTGAGAAAGACAAAAAGGGAGAAATCCTGTAGGTATCTAAGCTAGGGAAAGTTGTATGCCCATAGTGAACTGCTGAGCCAAAGTGGCTCAGTGCTGAGCCAAAAGGCTCTTCAACAGTAACAGTGGAGAATAAGTGGTGGTACCTGTGCTGCTTCTGCTGGATGCTGTCACTGGCACAGCGGTGCTGGCAGGAGCACCAGCACCAGCAGTGGTGGAGGTTTGCTCTGTAACAGACAGCTCCCTGCCTTCCCTGCCTTTGTGAACCCTGAGCTATGCCGTGGCTGGGGGGGGAAGCTGTAATCCTTGTTCTCATGTCATGCAATCTCAGCCAATCTCCCAAGAGGAAAAGCTGCCTAGTTTAGGATGTCGATCTACTGGTAGTATCTGTTTATGAGTAAAATAACCCATCTTGCTTGAGAACAGAAAGTTGGAATGGAAGAGTAAGAAAGGGTAAACTAAAAAGTAAAGTGCTATATAAAATTTTGTGTTAGTAATGCCAAATGACTCATGGAAAACTTAATAATCACCTCACTTCAGTTTCAAAACAATGTGAAAATGTTTTTAGTCCCACGTCTTCACTTGCTTCCTTCCCCCACCCCTTTACAGAGACCCTGTCTGGTGGCAGGGTACAATTTTTCTGTGCCAGAGCTCAGGGCCAGAAGGTCTCAGCCAACACCAATTTGAATTTAATACAACACGCCCCACTGAGAAACTCTTCAGACAGATCAGTTTTTTTCTTTTTGTATTAGACTACAGGTAAATCTGGAGATTGGATTAACTTTTTTTTTAATCCAATTTTTTTGAGTATAGACATTCACTGCAAGCAGCCAAGATTCACAGAAATGCAGTCATGAGTTTCATACCCATCATTACATACTTGTATCACATCCAGTACATAGAGGGATTGGTCCTGAGGGGTTTGTCCAAGTTACCATACTACAGAGAAGCATCAAAAAAGCCAAATCTTTCAGCTGACCAATTTCATTGGAGTCATTTTGGATTTATACAGTCAGTCAAGATCAGCAGATACTTAAGCTCTGTTTTATCTGGAAAGAGACTAACTCTTAGCTGGACTTCATAAACTAGCCTTCATCCAGGACCCAGCATCATATTCAAATGAATCAGTTGAGAGAGAACAGCAGAGGAGAGGAAAGTAAATGTTACAAAGATCTTGAAATCCCCTGCATCACCCTGCAATTTCTTTGCAATCTCACATGTGCACATACCAGATGGTGCATTTAAACTCAAATATTAACTTTCTTGATGATATTTCATTTGAAACTCTGTGTTCATTTAATTCAAAAATAAAAACTTAAAAATCATTTCAGAAGAAAAATATGTCTTTCTCATGTAAAAGAATGATTTTGAGAAATCTGACTTCAATAATTTGTCTTGGCGCAAAAGCCATATATAAGCAAAAACTGGGGTTTGGATGAGCCAAAATGAAACTTGGTTCTGATTGCTTTGTGCTGTAAGGTTATGATTTCTCTAAACAGCCAAAGTAGAATTCATGGTTCTACACCACAGAAGGGGAGGAAGCCCTGCTTCCCTGGTATCAATCGACTCTGTTCATCCCCATCTTCTCAGATCCCCTCTACCCAGCTGCCAGCTTTAGCACTTCTCTGCCTGCCGAGGAAGATCATTCACTTCACCAAAAAAAAAAAAAAAAAAAAAAAAAGGGTAAAAAAGCAGTGCCCCCCCCCCTTCCCAAATTAAAACAAGATTTTTTTTTTTTTTTGCAAGGATTAAGCTAGCTCGTCTCCTGGTCAGAGAGATGCCAGCACTGTCTGCAGGGTTGGCTGAATGGTGGCTAAGGAAAGAAAGGCTCAGGCAGGGAAGTGCAGAGAGCAAGACTTCCCCCTTTCGGCAGCTGCAAGCTGTTAGTTCAGCTCACAGTGGTAACTTTAATCCAAACCCTAAGTGAACTGAAAAAGCTCATTAACTGGTTTTCATGCAGTTTTCTCTTTCCCTATCAGGTGAAACTTTGTGTTTTATTTTTTCATCTGTAGCAAGGGAATTGAAATTATCAGATTAGGAAAATTATTGATTGACTCTTAAAATATAATTTGGTACTCACATTTTATATTTCATATTTCTTTATGCCTCTGAAAAGGAATCAACAACAGTAGTGCTAGCTGTATGTAATTTGTATTCCTAAGAAAAAACTAATGTGCAAGTTCAGCTAAGTACATATTTAAAACATTTTGTAAAGAATTCCTTATAAAAATCAAAGGGATATTTATATTTTGTCCCTTCTGTAAAGACAAATTCACATCTATAGCTAGACATACATGTACAAAGACAGGGTGATGTGGACAGTTACACATGTGGAGTGGGTCTTTCTGACCTGACCTTTTCAACACTGTATTTGTGAAAGCAGGACAGCGACTAACTGCAGCAAGCCAGAAACTATAGTAATTACTCTAATTCAGAAGCTATCAGCCTTCTGAAAAGAGAAGAAGAGGAATAGAATCATGCTTAAATACAGCCCATTTTGCTTTGTTCTTCAACACAGTCCCATTCAAAATACTTTGGAATTTATGAGTCTACTGAAAGTGAGGTCTCATAATGTGCACAGCATGTTGCCAGTTAACTTGAATGGGCTTCTCCTCTGTTTTCTGTCTGATTACTATAATAGATCACTTGAAAAGGGGCCCCTCCTTCTAAAACATATGTATTATGATGAAGAAAAAAGCCAGTCCCTAAGATGTCCAGGTAGGTTTGTGCAGCTCACCTAAACATCTGCCTTCCAAAATGTGATCTGGTGTCCCTTGAAGCAATTTGGAGCGAAGCGTCCCTGCGGTGCTCTGGCCCCAGCCCTGCAGCAGCACGATTCCTTGTCAGCCTTCCAGTGCTTCCTTGTGCAGTTCAAGAGACAAATATTCGCTCGCTTGAGGGACTGCAGTGCTTTGATCTCCACTTCCAGATGGAACCAGAAGTGCCGAGGCACGTAGAGAAAACAAAAGCAAATTTTTGCAATCCGCAAGAAAGATGGCTAAGAATAATAGAAATGTATTTATATATGCCTTTCTGCCTTTTTTTTTTTTTGACAGCATCATAACCTCAATCAAATAAAAATCTATAAAAGAACAGACAGAAAATAAGGATTGCAGATTTTTTTATTTAATTTTAATATTTTTGACATTCAGTTCTTCCAAAGACATAGACAAAGCTTCTTCTGATCTCGGTGGTGGAGGATTTGACTCTAAAAGTTCAAACCGCAAACAATGAAGCTATTACTCCTATGATTCATCTCACCCTCCATAGGAAAAAAAGAGTACCCTGTTCCTATAGCTGCAGTGCTTACTATAATTATTTATGAACTGATATGCAGTACTGGAATATCCAACATGTTTTAGATGCAGATTAGCTGGTATATTGAAAGCACTTAGCTGTAAAAATGACTTTAAAAATCATTTATGCAATCTTTTGCATGTTGACCTAAAGATCATCTGCAGTATTTGAAAACTGTAGAGCTTTGTATACCCTTTTCAATTGATTTCTCAATATGAATTCAAATGACAATATCTTGCATTAGTCACATTTGTAAGTATGCAAAACTAGTTTGAGAAATGCATTTGCTCTCAATATCCTCTCATTGCGTTCTGCTCAGAAGTACTGGAATGATTTTTCTCCTCATTTAGAGCTATTCAAACCCTTTAAAACATAGTGGCACTAACATTTTGAACCTCTTATGCAAATAATCTGATATTTTTTCTAAAACTGACAGGAAAGTGAAAAAAGTTACATTTATAGAAAAAAGATTGGTTGATACTTGATAGTTACAAAATGTGGTCTTTTTGGTTTCCTTGAGCTCACTGAGAATGAATTTGTGTCATCACCATGGTACAAATCTTATGCTTACTTAATAATCTGCACAACATATGCTTTTTGTAGAGAAGAGATACAAAGAGTGCTTCATCTGAGAAGTCATACCTTGCTTTCACCATGAGCTTAGCCCTGAGACAGATAAGAGAGAGCTCCAAGGCTCAGCCCACATTGGAGCTACTAGCTTGGGATGCATGAGTGGCATGGCCGTCTTCTGATATCTGTGTCCTGGGTGCAGAGCTGCAACCAGGGCAGATACTTTGTGTAATTGAATGCCCTTTTCATACTTAGAGAAAACCTCAATTTTCCACTCTGTCTTCTAGCTGCTGGAGCTGCAAGAGAAGCATTTCATTTTAAGAAGTTCCTATTCAGCCGTTCTGATTCCTGGGATCTTTCCAGTCTCCCCCCACAGCCAATTTACCACCATTCTCCCCATAGTAGGTCACCAAAGGCTGAGGAGAGCAATCTTGCCTTTCTCTGCTACAGTCCTGTTGGAGGAAAAAGATTTCATCAAAGAGATTGACTAGGATGACTGCTTCTCTTAACCATGTCACCAGCAGGCAGCCAAGGATTAGATGAGGACTGAGCCTGCCTTTCACACCCTGTGACCTGCCCTGGCTCTGAGACATTGAAGGAGGCCCAGCTGCACCAATGTGGTACCAAGTCTTGTGTCCCATGCCAGCATTAGCAGGGTTGTGTGGCTGAGTAGCAAACCCCACCTGTCCTCACCACACAGTCTGACTGGACATATCCTACCCCATGTATGGGAAGAAGAGTGTCATTGAGGGCAAAGATGTCGACTGTGATGTGTCTGTTCTCAGGAGAGGAAAAGGTGTTCATTTTCCAGCACTGCTGGGTTTTGTGATTGAGGGTTTTCTTCTTCATTCTTTTATTTTTATCTTTTAATTAAATTGCATGCTCTCATTTTCCTGGTAAATTCCAGTTTTAAATAAACTATGAGCTATTTAAACACTGTTTTACAAGACATACTTCAGATCTGAAGAGCTGTTGATGGCAAGAGGATCTGATATAATCCACATCCACACAGAAGATATTAGGAAACCAAAGAAAGAGACATGTTAGGATCCAGGAGCAGGATATTTTAAAATTTCATCCCATTTCAAGGCCAGATCTTGCTAATTTAGTGTTCTATATGCTATAGTTCAGAAGCACCAAATAAATGGAGAGTCACTCACTTTTGAATTGATTTTAAGGCAGTTTAGGAGTATAACTCTTCCTTATCACTTGCCTACATTATGCCAGTAGACCAGGATAATTACAGCAGTATGTTATAAACTGCAGAGATGTTGACATCTAAATTCCTATATGGGGAATCTAAATTCCTATAGGGGACCTATGGGGGAATGAAGTCACTATATTTGCTGTGTAATTAATTATTTTCCAAACAAAAACATTCTGCTTCTCTCAATAAACCTGTATTTTAAAAAAAATCTCCATCTAGTTCCCCTTTTGGAAATGAAGGTTTACACACTGTGATGCTTAAAATCCCATTTATTCAAATGGTCAAAATGTTTCAGGCTACATAAATAATTGTCTTTTTGAATAACAGACATGTTTGGAATTACTTAGAGGATTTTTATTTAGTCTATTGATTAATTTTTCAAGGGGAAAACAATAAAAAAGGGGAGTTAGAAATCCTAAGATAAATTCTTTCATAAAACAGAACATCATACCTTTTCCCTCAAGAATTTTAAACATTGGGGTTTTGCTCTTTTGTTTTCTTCCTTTCATAGTGACCTTAATGACAGAAGTGTGATGATTATAGTATTAAATGAAAGTAACTTTACCATCATCACTATCACTTTAAGATTTGTGTCCATATTTGTCTGCCTAATTACCGTTTTTCATAACTGATATATCACTGAGATGCAAAAATACAAATGCTACACATGGCATTGACAGCAACAAACTATTTTTTTTTCTCAATTATTTTTCCTTATATCAGCCTGCCTTGAAAACAGTGCTCTCTATGCTCTGTGCTTTATTCCAGGGGGATGCAGTTATGATTACACTGAAAAAGGAGGCTCTATAAACCACAAACATTTGCCAGCTTTGCCAGCATATCATTATTACAACACTCAGTATGCTGTTTTTCTTCTGCTTTATGCAAACAAAATTCACACTCAGTGGGAAAAAAGTATATTACCAAGGCATGACTTAAATCCCTCCCAGACTCAAACCCTCCATCCCATAATTTTAGAGTTTCAGATATGCATATTTCTCTCATGTCTATGTCTTAGTTTCAGCTGATAAAGGAAGAGTGTCAGGGGAAATTTTGCTTTTTGCCTGCCCTGCCTTGACATATTAGGTCAATTTGAGTGGAGCTATTTGATCTGCCAGCAGTCAGCTACTTCCCATATTCAAGTGACCTTAATTAAAGTCTAGCTGAAGATGAATACAAAGTACATGAGAATTATACACATGGACCTGGTTAAAAAATTGTTGTAATTCAACCACTGAACAACCAAGAAAAACCAGAATGAATGTGCAGCACTGCAAACATGTGTGTAGGCATGTTAAATTAGAAAAACATGAAAATTATCATTAATGCCCCTTAACCAATACATTACTAGAGCAAAGCATTAAAAGTATTATCTGGGAACTATGCCATATACAAGATGTATAAAGAAATTTCTAATGAAAATAAAGTTCTGACCATATTTTCATTATAATTTCTTTCTTTCCTCTGAATAGATAAAACAAGACATTTGTTAAATTGAAATCAAAAAATCTGAGCGCAATTATCTTAAATGTGTTACTTATTAATATGTGAGGCTCTGTGTGGATATTGTCTCTGGAAATGCTCTTTTCATATCTGGAAGAAAGCTCTGCATTCCAACTCTTTGCAGCCCTTCTTGGGAGGCATGAGATTTTTACTTGTCCTAGCAAGCTGGATGGTATTTATCCATTCCAGTTATTCCAGCTAGTTCATGCCACCCTTGATGGGTTGCAGAAACTAAGAGAAAGAATACAAAGCAGCATGGATATTAGAGGCACAGGGGTAAGGTGACAATGACTTTTCTTATGCACAGACTTATCTTTTATTCTTCCACATGGGTATCCATCAGAATTCAGTCCTGATGTGAGAGATTTTAGGACACAGAATGCAACTAGTCCAAAGGACAGTATGAGAATAATTACACTGCCATATATTTTATGTTTGTGGAAGCAAAAAGCCAGGTGAAGCAAACTTCTGATTCATCTGACTGCCAGGATCTCTCAAAGCCTCACCCTTTTACTCACACAATTCTGGCTAGAATTAACTTCATTTAAGTTAGTCCTATTAAGGCTCATAAATTTGTTTTGGGAATGCTGACAACATTCTTTTGGAATGGTAGTTTGTGAACAGTTTTCTTCCCATTCCACACACCAGCAATGAGGCAATCAGGGCAGGACAAGGTGGTGTCATGCTGGAAACCTAATATGCATTGCAAATGATAACATACACAAGTGGGTGAGAAACCTTTCTGCCTCAACTTGTGGACCCTTGGGACATTCCTGTTTTTGTTCTATGAAAATCAGCTAGCTGTGAGAACTCTTGGTTTTTTAGGGTAACTTTTAGTGAGCTCAGATGAAAACCAAATTAACAACAATCAAAAAAATATGTTTTCCCTTTACACAAAACCCCTGTACTTTATCCAGTTTTTGGGCTTGAAACTGAAGATCCAGGTGCTGGGGGTAGTAGGTGAAAGAATTCCACTATGGTATTTTCAGTGCTATCTACTGGGAATAATACATCCAGAGATGTCTTCAAACTGAGAAGGGGTTCCCAAATATAATAATTCAATAACCAAAGTGATTTCAGCTACTAATTTCCAATTATTTCAGCAGTTAAAGTCTTTGAGGGTGAAAAGTCTGTAGAACCAAATGAGGAACTACCCATAGGTGCAACCCCATTCCCAGCAATGCTTTTGGCCTCTTTCCCCTTCTGGTAGAGGGAGGCAAATGCTCCTGAATTCCTTCTCTGGGGAGACTGTGACACTTCACACAATACTGCATCAATCAGCCTATTCAGC